CTTCTCGGGCAGGAGGAACCGGGAACAAACAGCCAGAACATCCAGGCCCTGCTTCCCTGCCCCACTTCCTACTTCCTGCCCCGTCTCCACCTCTTGCTACAGCCTGAGGAAGAACAACGCAGCAGATGGGGGAAAGGAAACAGGACCAGGCTGAGTGGTTTCAGAACAGCACCCAGCTCCCAGCGGCTGCTGCCTGGAGCCTGGCCAGGGCTCCAGGGAGCCGGGATGACAAATAGCTTTGGCTTTGTTCTGGTTTCTTTGTGTGGTGGCAAGAGGGCAGGACCCCAAGGCTCCACCTCCCACCCCTCACTCCGGGGATGGTGGTATCTCTAGACAGCAGGAACAAACTCTCTCCCTGCTCCCAGCTGGCTTCGAAGCTGGCCACCAACTCGGTTTGCAGGGGATTTTTCATGACACACCAAGAGTGTCCCGGGTTATTTGGGGATGTGAGGTTTGTGTATGGGACAGGGAGCCTGCTTTCCTGGTGAGGTCACTGCGCCTTGAGTTATTACCTTGCTTTCCTTGGCCTGAGCAAACAGCAGGAATGCCTTGGAGGAACGTTTGTGAAACACCAAATCTCTGCCTAGTGACACTGAGCAGGCCAGCTTGCGCCAGACCCTGGGAGCTTGGTAGTTCTTTGGGCCTCCGGGTACCAACCTCTGTTACCTGCCTCAGGACAGAAGGGCTGGAGCCCGGCTGAGGCCGGATGGGCAGGGGCCGCTTCCCTGGTGGGGGCTGGAGCAGGCGAGCCGCCGCGCTCTCCTGGGCCGATGTGCTCTGTTGTTTCATCACAGGGCTAATTTTGCTGGTAAGGAATGCAGGCGAGAGGCCAAGGGCAGCATTTGGCAGCTCCTGGAGAGGGAGATCGTTTGAATTAAAATATTGGTCACCGCCCTGCACTTCTTGACTATGGGCTGGGGACAGCTGGCCCACGCCACTGACCCGGCGTGTGGGCTGCAGGCACTGGCCGTTGGGTTCCTGCACCGCGCACACTGGGAGCCGGGGCTCAGCCAGCCTGGAGCCCCTGCCCGCCTGCTGCAGACGCCTGGCACCCGGCTCTGAAAACCATTCTATTTTCAGTCCCCGCCTAGCTCTTCAGCCCTCATTCCTGTCTTGAGCTGCCTGAGTCACTTCTCCCAGCTCTGCTTCTTTCTGAATGGAACGGATTAGCATAACACCATATGTTAGAGGAGCGATTCACAATTTACAAAGGCCTGCCTTGCACCAGATCTCTTCTGAGCTTTCGTCAGCCTGTGAGGTTGACCGGGCAGGTAATTGAATCTACAGATTCAATTCATTCCACAGATGATGGGAAACAGAGGGTCAAGCAGCTTGACCACGCAAACACACCCAGCACACACCAGCAAGTGAGGGGCTGAGTCCTAGCACCAGGCTTCCAGCCTCGAGTCTGGGGCTCATCCCAGCTCCCCACACTGTCCAGGGTGTCCCTGGTGTTCGGGGCTAGTGAGTGGGACCCTGTGGGGTCATCTGTGCGATCCCTTTCCTTTCTTTTTCATGGAGGACATCTGCTTCCCAGGAGCGGGAGGGTTGCCCTTTGATTCCAAGGAATTTAAACTGCTGGCGGGGATCAGCAGGGCTCTGGACCAAGTGGAGAAAGTTGCCTTCCCATTTGGGCTCCTGACCCGTCCTTCCCTCCCTCAGCACTTCAGCCCCCTCACCTTACCTTCCAATCCCTAAGAAACCGCGTCCCCCTTCCTGTGTCCACTTGCTCTCAGGTGTAAACACCTGCGGCAGTTTAAAGGGCGCCCCCTCCACACCTCAGCCTGCCTGACACCAGTGTGGCGGGCACATTCAGGCTGTTGTCTCCAGGAGGACAGAGCGTGGGCAGATGACCCATGGGGACAAACGCCGGCCATGGTGTTGAGTGGGTCCTGGAGCCCCTCTCCATTGTGCCAGGCATCACCCATGGCTGCCGGTCCCTGGGGAGGGCTGCGAGAGTCCCAGGGGAGGGAACCAGGGCCAGCGGGTGGGGGCATTTCGGGGAGCTCTGGGCACTGGCCAGTGCCAGCCAGTGTGGAGGCACGGTGACATTTTCACACATGTGCAGCCATACGGGTGCACACCAGCTGCATATCGGAGCTGATTATTTCATTTAATCTCTTCTGGGACATCTGAAGCAAGATATGACACTTTCTTTTCAACTACTGAGGAAACTGGGTCTCCGTGAGGCTCAACAAGGGCCCACAGCTAGTGAGCGTTCCTGGCATTCTGGAATTCAGAGCATGGGGGACCCACGACGGGAGCCCCACCAGAGGCCGAGGGGCAGGGTGTGGGGAAACCGGGGAAGGGACAGACAGGGGAGAGTGTGTGATGACTGAGGAGATGGCACAGGGAGCATCACGAGGGGAGACACCAGGAGCCTGAGAACAAGCCTGCCCCCACCCGTGGTTTCGCTGTGGCCGGAACCAGTCCTGGTGGAACAGAGAAACCATTTTCAGTGTCCGCTTTGCCCGTCCATCCAAATGCTGTCCCTTGGAGACACATGCACAGTCACACTTGGAGCACTCGCTGGGGCATTTCTGATTTTAAAAATAGCTAGTGTCTCGGCTGGGTGCAGTGGCTCATGCCTGCAATCCCAGCACTTTGGTGAAACTGGGCAGGAGGATCCCTTGAGGCCAGGAGTTTGAGACCAGCCTGGGCAACATAGTGAGATCCCATCTCTAAAATAAATAAATAAAAAAACCTCGGCGCTGGCCCCGGGCAAGGGGATGAGTCTTGTGGCAACTGTGTGCAGAGGGGCAGCCTAGGGTGGGGGACCTGGCCCCGGGTCTCCAGGACAGCTCAGGCCTCAGAAGTCTGAGGGGTGTGGGAAGGGCCTAGCATGAGCCTCTCAGCGTGGCTCCCCCAGAGCCTGACAAGGGACGGAAAGGCGGCTGGCACAGCCCCCACTCCCCCATCAACGACTGTGGTTCCTTCTGCTGCTGTTTTCTACCTCCCTCTTCCTTCCAACAAATGGTATTAATAGGTGTGAGTCTTGTCCCAGGTCCAAAGTGACAAAAAATTTCTAGGCAAGTGGCCTGGCCTTTGGAAGGAGACCTTTGTCCCTGTGCATGGCAGCGATGCACTCAACACACACCTTTGGTGGAGGCTGACATTTTGGTAAGACATTAAAAACCAAATGCAAATTCTAATCTTTAGGAGAGTCATCTTTTTGCCTGTGTTTTTTCTTGCTTGTCCCTTGGTCTCTGCCAATTTAGAGTTGGAGACAACGTGCCACATGATTCCTTTTAAAATTGGGCTCTGGCTGGTGCTGTTTCTCCTGCCTACTGCCCATCTGCCAGCTCTACAGGCAACATGAGCTCCGGGAGGGGCGGGGAGGCGCCGCTGAGGGTGCTCAGAAGGAACTGAAATATGGGCCTGGACTTGGTCCTAACAGAGGTGCTTTCATTACCCTAAATGTCCTGGAAATCCTGTTGCCTCTGGCTCTAGAGACTCCAGGCTTGGTCATTCCCGGATGGCCGTTTGCATCAAGCCTTGGCATGCTTCTGCAAGTGGCCGTGACGTGAATCATGGGGGCAGTCCCCAGGAAGGCTGAACATGAGGGAGGCACAGAGGAGGAAGGCTGCATCCCCCTGCAGGCTGGCAATGGCCCCTGGGCCCAGCGGGGCTTGTGGAGGATAAGGGGACTGAGGAAGGGGGGTCAGCGACAACAGGGAAGATTATGAGCCCAGGGGGGACAGGTCATTAGCCTAGACCCCACCAGAAGCGCCCCTGGTGTTAACAGCTGGGCAGGGCCTGTGATATCAAAACCAGACATTGCCTTAGGATGGAAAGAACAGGCCCAGGGTTCTTTCTTACCATCTCTCTCATTTAAAGGAACAGTGAGGTCCAGATACCTAGTTCTTTCACTTTGAGAAAGTCAATAAGGGAGCCTCAGGCATGCACTTGTAATGGTTTATTAACATCACAAACAAAGCATACTTTTATTTTTATTTGAACTGGCCAAATAAGATGTCTATACAGGGCAAACATGAAATATTTAAATTAAAAATAAATAAGTTAGTTCCATCATATATAAATCTCCAGGTGATACATACAAATGAAAGATATCAGTTATAAATTAAATAAGTTAAAATAAATAGTTGTAGCTTGCTCTGTTAGGTCCAGCATAGATCATCTGTTAGCCCCCTAACTTTGTCCTGGACCCTAGAATCTACACTGAACAACACGACTGCACGGTCCACTGGGACTAGCCCCTCACTGAAAGACCACCTGGTGCCCAAGTCTCCAAATCATGTTCAGATATGAGGATTGGATGTTCAGGGTCGAAAACAATGGCTGAAGAGCAGAGATCAGCAAGGTGAAAGCCCAGAAGCTCAGGCCTCTTATCCACCCCCATTGCTTTCCTATGGTTCACCTGGAGATGTGGAAACAGGTAACTCAAACTCAGCAAAAAGCAAGGCGTGGGCACAGCATACCAGTCCTAATATAACAGTTGTGTCTGAGACCTGCAATGTGGCCAAACACTTCTTTGTACCAAGACACGGCAATGTCCAACATAGTCTTGGGCTAAATTTTTGGTTTCATTAAGTGGGTTAGATTAATTTAATCTAAAAAGAAAAAAAAAGCCTTCTGGAGGCAGAGTTTGGGCAACAGATGACAAATATACAAGGCATATGTCACTAATCCCCTCCACAGGCAGGCATTACTAATTGATCACTGCATTCTTCTAGCTCAGATTCTATCCCACACAGAACTGCAGGCAGCATCTACCCATCAATTTTGTTTAGCACTTGAGATGAAAACTATTTAGTAACCTTGGTATATCTCAATGTGCTGAACTATTTTGCATGAAGGAGTAGATATAATACAGGCACTGAAGCCTGAAGACACTTATGAGTTAGGTGCCTTCAGTCTTATCATCTAACCCCTTTGAATTGGTGTCTATTAAATGGGTAAGACCACCTCACTGAGAGCTGCTAGAAAGATTAGGATAATGTATGTACAGTGCCCAGTATCGTCCATGGAGCATGGTAGGCATTTAATAAATGATAGCTATCATTAGTAGTAGTATATTGTCATTTTAAGGCTACCGATGTTGACAATGGACTTCACGGTGACATTTCCATGGAAAGAAGGAAAGTATAATATTATGTATTAGGTTGAACCGCATCAAATTGATATTCAATGTTTTTGACATACAAAATGGCAATTTCTTCTGGGTCAACCTAATAATATATGATGATGTGTTTCATTCAAATCACTTTACTTGTTCCAACCTTTTCAGATTCTTCCCTCAGAAGTTGTCCCCTAGAGACTCACTTCCACCATTCAAAAACTTCCTCAAATCAGTTGCTTAGAGGAAGCAAAGCAGGGAGTCTGCCGGAGAGAAGTTGAGGACCTGGGGTCTAGTTCCCCTTCCCAGTATCTAGTCACGTAACCCCCACAGCTCTCAATTTCTCCATCTATATCTGGGAAGACTGGTGCTTTCCTCAACAGGGCTTTGTGAAGATAAGAAGAGTTAAGGGATGAGAAAGCACTTTCAGAAGTTAGAATCATTACACCAAAGTAAGGTATTATGATAATACCACTTCAGAAAACATTAGCATTCAACATTTAATTTTTAATGTTTTTCTATAGAAAAACTGCACAGAAAATAGAGAATTCATGCAGTCATGCCAAATGACCACCAAAATCGATCTTGATGATACTCTCAAGTGTATATTAGAACTACTAAGTTAATAGATAATGCTTTGTCCTTCAAAATTGTACCTCATCCAGGTGAAATCAATGTGATAATGGGAACAGTAAGAACCATCATGTTTACAAATGTCTCAAAGTCAAGCTCTTAAATTTACACCAGAAAATAAACACTTTAGAACAACTCACAGGAAGACAGAGGAGTCCTCCTCTTCTTTTCTTGGAGGTCTTTAAAATGGGCTGGTGTGGTTTTGCATAAAGATGGGGATATAAACTTTAGGAGCTCCTAAAGTCACTTTCAGACTAATGACTTTAGCAATTTGCACAGTTTTATTTTGCCTTCAAGGGACGTTGTTTTCCGTGCCCTAAGCCAGGGTGACCAGTTAGTGAGGGAGGATGATGTGTTGGGGCCAGCTGAGTGTGGCTCAGCTCTGATCCTGGAGCTTTCTCCCCTCGTCCAGGGAACCTTGGCCAGTGTGGGACATCTGGGGAGGGTCACCTTTAGTCAGCCTCAAAGGCGCTGTTAGTGGCTCCTACATATTCCGACTTCTTCTTGTGCCTTGTCCACATTTTCCGGAGGATGCTGGAGACACCGCAGGAAGCACTTCCTGTCAGCGGTAGGGAGGCTTCTGCTCCTTGGGGAAGGGTTGGGTACTCTTCGGTCATCTTCTTGAGATGTCTGGATCTAAAGTAAAGCCAGGGGTGGGCGGGGAAGGCGGTCACTTCACTGAGCCAGACTTAATGTGGCCATAACTCTCCTCCTCGGCTCCTTCATCCCATGATCAGGCTCTGCACATCGGAGGGACCCTCATGGGGACGGCTCCATGTCCCTACCCCTCCCATCTCTCATGAACAGTGACCTTGCTAGAAAGGGCAGCTGTCCCAGTGCATCAGCTACTGAAAGAACAGGAGGCTTGGGGTCGAATCCTACTCCCATCTCATTATGTGACCTTGGGCAAGTGCCTTGTGACCTTGGGCAAGTGCCTTGACCTTGCCCAGGCTCAGTTTCCTCGCGTGCAAAATGAGGATAATTTCTTCTAACTCATGGGGCTTCTGTGAGGACAAAAATGAGATAATAAAGCAACTGTCTACATTGTAGACCCTCAATAAATGTTCGCTTTTCTCCCCACTTGCTTCCCTCAGGTGAAATAAATGGCCTCCCTTTCTTGTAGCCAGGGTTCTGGAACAAACTGAAGTGAGGAAGACTGAGCTGAGAGAAAGGACTCGCTTGCTGTGTGTGCTCAGCTCTCCACACATTACCTCACTCAGCCTTCACAGTAATCAGGTCGGTACCTCTGTCATTCCCGTGTTACTGTTTTGCTTTTGAATGGCTGGGGCCTCGGGGACGGAATAACTGCCTGAAGTTGTGGTGTGTTGGGGACAGTGGCAGCCTGGAAAGCAGATCTGGGTGAAGAGCCCAGCCTCTCATCATCCTGAAACCCCTTTTGTGCTGCCCGTGGTGTGGACGGGGTGGTGAGGGGCACCGACGCACACGCCGAGTTGAAATGCTCGCCGTGTCAGGGCGACGCCCCGGGGTGCTGGGGCTCACCCACTCCCGCTGCCTCGCGCTGCTTGGGGTCAACTTAACGGGCACCGCAGGGCCTAAGCCTGGGGTGCAGCCTCCGTGTCTGGTGAGCTTCCTCCCCTGCGGGCGGGGGTCCCAGACTCACTCGTGAGGCGCCTCTGACACCCGTGTGTCTACGGGGGTTCTGAATATGGCTCGTGGTTACACTCACCTAATTAACCAAGAACCCTCCCACTGACACTTCTCCAAGTGTAAAGAATGGCGTTAACGAAGCAGAAACCATGACAAACAGGCCAGCGTGGTCCTGGGGAACCCGCTGGCCTCATTAGGAGGTTTCCAGCCACGGGTCTGTGCGCATCCCCAGAGCCTGTCCGCCAGGCCACCTGTCGCTCTTCTGCAAAGGACCAGGACGGCGGGTGCCCAGCACTTACCCTCTCGTCAGAGCAGCTCCCTTCTCCGAGCCAGGGGCTGCTGCCTCCACCGAGATCCGGGGCCCTGGCGGAATCTGCCGTGAGGAAGCGGGAGGGACGGTGAAGATGTGTCTAGTTCCCGCCCTGGCATGGACTGCAGCCCTCTGAAAGGCGGGTGACTGAATCAGACCGCCACTAACCTGGGCAACAGTCCTCACCCTTCTTCAGCAGGCATCCGACTCCCCTGGAGGGTTTGACAGGACAGTGCCAGGCCCCATCCCAGTTTCCAAGTCGGCAGGCCTGATGTGGGCCTGAGAACCTGCATTTCTAACAGGTTCCCAGGTGTCTCTGGTGCTGCCAGTCCAGGGACCCCACCTTGAGAACCACTGACCTAGAGAAACTTGAGAGAGCCCAACACAACCCTACATAAGAACTGTCACTCTCACCCCGCCATCGCCTGTGCCCAGTTTGTTGTCGAGTCCTACAGATTCTTGCTTTTACTAGGTTGCTTAGGCCAGGGCCAGCCTCTCCATTTCCTCTGCTACAGCCTTTGAGGCACAGTCCCCGTGGACCTCCTTGTTTCCCCCAGACCTGCTGCAATCCGTGCGCCCCTCCTGGGCTCTAGCACCACAAGGACTCCCTGCTGCGGGGCAGACTGTGGCCAGTTCTGCAGCTGCTCCTTGAGTTCCTCCATGTCACCCGTGCGGCCTGTCCTCTGTCACTCCCCCATGTATCAATGCTGCCAGTTCCACAGGGGCGGGGTGGGGGCTCACACACAGCCCCGCACCTTTCCTGCATTCTCCGATCATGGCCTCCTCTCTGCCTGCCCTTCAAACCCACTTCCTCCAGGAAGCCTGCCCTGAGGCTGGTGGCCCAAGTTGCTCTTCCTCTGTCCTCGTGTCCCCAGAGCACTGAGGGCCTATGTGACACGCTTTGGCATCCCACCTATTCCGTCTTTTGGTGGTTCTTGTCATGTGTTTGTCCAGTGTCCTGGTTCCCACAAAGACTGCCTGGCACGTGGTGGGCCTGAGACTTGACCTCTTTGGCGCCTCCCAAAGGAAGTGGTGAGCACTTGGGAACGTGCGGTGGGTTGAAAATTAACTGGTGGCCTAAGCGGGGCTGGGTCCAGGGGTCGCTCAGTCAGCTGACGCAGGCTGTGGTTTGCTCTTCTGCCCTGAGCCCCATGGAAGGCTTCAAGTCACCACATTCCTAAAATCGCTGAGAAATTCCAGGTCAAGGCGCCATCGTTCACCATCTCCCTCTCTCCTGAGCCAGCCAAGGCTGTGGGCAGAGTTACTGTGCCACCTTGTGGCCTCTCTGGAGCGCTCCCTCCCCACCGTGCCAAAGGCTGGGTGGACATACCCCCAACCCCCTTAGCTCTGGAGGACAGGGGGCTGGGGGCTCCTTGTTCCACTCCTTATCTCCTGTTTCCTTAGTCTAATACCAATCCATGCATTTCAGTGTCGAATCAGATTTAGCTGTGTGGGTCTGGACCCCTGACCTGCCCTGAATCGTGGGCCTCTGATGAGCTGTGGGAGCCCACTCCCCACCCCCAGGACCAGAGGAAGGGGCCAGCCATGCTGCCTTGTCCTCCTCTTCTTTGTTGACCCCTCCCCTTTGTAACCATGTCTCTCCATCCCCACCCTGTGCCATCCCAGATCCCTCTGGCCAAGGGCACCATCTGAGTCCAGCCTAAGGGCTGGGGTGAGTAAAAGGCCATGGGTCACCCTCTCCCCCTCAACCTTGCTCTTTTTCTGGGTTTGGCCAATGGCAGCTGTTGGAGCTGTCATAGCTTGACAATCTTCCCTCTGTGCCAGCCATCCTGGTTTCCCCTGAGTACAAGGTTGGGAAGGGGCCTCCCTGACAAACAGCTTGTTTCATCCCTGCCCTTGGTGTGGATTTCTTAGAATAGTGATGACCTAAATGAGATCCCTGGACTAGGTCTCCTGCCCAAACCAGGAGTGAGTGAAGCACCAGCATCTCTGTCTGGTTTGTTCTGGAAAGATGAGGGGCTGGCACAGACAACATCTTGGGTCTCTTCTCACATTGCACCCTCCATGAATCTCGACAGCTGACACTCAAGAGAGTCTAGATGCCTGAGCCAACCTCGCCTCCAGGCACTGCTGACTCTGGTGAGAGGGAATCGGACATTCACGCCCAGAGGATGACGAAGGAGAGGTACTGACAGACCCAGAGAGGCACCACTGGATCCCCCTTCAAGGAAGGACAGCTGCCCATCTGTGGGAGGGAGGATGGCAGGGTGGGCTTTGGCTGCAGAGGACCACCTGGCCCAAGGTCACACTCTTCCCTGGGCAGCCCACATGCTGTGGAGGAGGAGGGAGCATAAAATCTCAGCCATTCTGGACCAACTCAGACCAACCTGAATGGGCGACACTTGCCCCAGAGCTCCCCGCCAGGAGGTGTTGGGCCTGCATCACGCTGCAGCTGCTCCTCCACACAAGACCTGCCTTCCCCGCTCCTGTTACAGGTGTTGACCCGCAACATCCATCAAACCCCAAACCCCAGATCTCAGAGTCTGCTTCTGGAGAACCTGACCTGTAGCAGATACCCCCACAGGTGTCTCCATCCTGACATGGCTGGCTGTTATGGATTGAATGTTTGTGTTCCCCCCAAATTCATATGTAGAAGACCTAACCCCCAGTGTTATGGTATTGGGAGGTGGGGCCTTTGGGAGGTGATTAGGTTTAGATGAGGTCATGGGATAGAGCCCCTATGACAGGATTAGTGCCCTTATAAGAGGAAGAGACACCAGACATTTTGCTTTCCGAGCACGCACAGAAGGCCATGTGAACACACAGTGAGGAGGAGGCCGTCTGCAAGACAGGAAGAGAGCCCTCAGTCAACACTGAATCTGTTGGCACTGTAGTCTTGGACTTCCCAGCCTCCAGAACTGTAAAAAAAATGTTAAGCCACCAAGTCTATGATCTTCTGTTACAGCAGTCTGAGCTAAGACACTGGTGTTCCATGTTTTCACAGTGCTTGAGAACCACTTTCCACCTTTAGCTGCACCTGGGATTAGTTAGGCATTTCCACCTGGCAGGGACCTACCCTAGAAACCAGTTCTTTCTTCCCATATATAAGACATCTGTTGGATAATAGCTGCTTCTGTTTGCCTAAGAGCTGCATTTCTAGCAAGAAAGAGAAAAGCAGCCAGTGATGTTCCACAAGTGCACACAACAGGACCAGTTGGTAGCTTTTAGGAGCAAAAGATGGCCAGTTATGCTTTTCTAATAATTCCCAGGCCAAGGACAAAGGACACTGTCTTCATGGCAAAATAGAACCAGACATGATAAGTTTAAAGCACGGCAGATACAACTAACCAGGCTTATTTTACTTACCAAAGATTTTCCATATGCTCGATTCCCACACAGATTCGATGCTTTGGGTTCCGAAATCCCCACTGCAAAGTTGAATGGGAGAGACATTACTCAGTGGTACTCCGTGTTCTGCCTCCCCGGGGTTCTGCATCAATCCCCTTGTTAGCCAATCAGTCATAGCAGGGAAATTCTAAGGGCCTTTTGCTTCCAAGCAGCAAAACCAGGCAGTAGGGTCAGGTGGTGAGGCCACTGCCACTCTTCCAGGGGGCTGGAACTAAGGTCTGGATAAGATCAGTGTGTCCATGTAGGCTGACTGGCTGAAACAAATGTACTGCTCTCACGGAGGGTGGTGGTAATGGGGGAGGCTATGCACATGTGGGGGTGGGAGTAGATGGGAAATCTCTGTATCTCCGGCTCAGTTTTACTGTGAACCCAAAATTGCTCTAAAAAATAAAGCCTATTAAAAAAAAATCACAGACGTGGAAACATTTAGCATTGTGTCTGCATGCAGTTAGTGCATGCAGCTCTCAGCTCTTCTTTCCTTCCTAAGGTCTCAGATCACGAGGTTTAAAAGGCTCTTAGGAGTTAAGTCTCTACAGCTGGGATCAATTATGTAACACAGTGCTCCTGGACACCCCTCTAAAAAGAAGCAGAGAAGTCACACCTGTGTTGGGAAGTTCAGCCCCATTAATGTGGAAGGACTGGAGTTTGTCAGATCAGCATCCTGAAGCATTGGCTACATAAGGTGTATGGGTGGAAAACTTTCTTTCTTCTTGTTGCCCCAACCTACTTCTGAGTAATTTCTACCCTGAAGTGCCTGAGGCTGCAGGTGTGGAGCTGAGGGAGCGGCGTAAGGTAGGGGTGTTGGCTTTCAACACAGGTCCCTCCTGGTGCAGATGTTCCAGGACAGGCACACCTTGTACTAAAGCATGTAGAGATGAAACCCTCCTCCCCCAGGAAGACAGCTCAGTGCAATACAATGAGATAGCAGGAAACTTCCAAAATCAAACCACGAAGAATGGTACCCTGGCATAAATAACAGCAGCTCATATTTTCGTCCGTGTGCCAGGCGCCGTGCTGAGTATAAAGCACGTGAGTGTTATCTTATTTCACCCTCACCACACCCTAAGAGGCAGAAATCGTTAACAGTCTACATTTTCTAGTTGAGGAAACCAAGGCTTTAGAGATACAAACACGTGTGATGAAGCCAGATAAGGATGACTTAGCGGGTAGTGAACTGACCTCTTTGGTGGTCTTGCAGGCCTGGGGAGGCTTGACTGAGGGGCCCCCAACCCAGCCTGGGAGGAGGTGAGTTTGCTGGGTGGAGACGCAGGGAGGGTGCCTGCAGCGGGAACAGTGTCAGCGGGGGTCGGGAGGCAGGATATAGTGGAGCAGTCGAGGATGGAGCTATGACACAGCTCAGGGCTGCTCCACGTGATAGAATGGTGGGGGTAGGGGTGTCACATGAGGTGGCCCTGGAGAGGTCAGTGTGGTCTGGAGGGGGCAGAGGACACAGCACTTAAAGCTGAGGATGACGGGGGTCAGAGTTTTGCTTTAGGAAGACCCCTCCTCTGTTGCCTTGTAGAGGGAGGCGTCCTGGAGGCTGAGACCTTCGCTGACTGTTCTCTACACAGTGGAGATGAAGGAGACCGAGCCCTGGCCGCTTGAGGTAGGTACCAAGAGGGAGAGGTGAGAAGTACCTAGCAGTGTGTGCAGGGAGGGGGAGGACAAGGAGGGGTTAGGGAAACATCCGGGAGACTTGCTGGAATGATGGATACTGGCCCCAGCGGAGAAAGGAAGAGAGGTTTGAACAAGTTGATGCTGAGGTGCCTGGGGACAGCCAGTGAAGAAGTCCCACAGGTCCAGGAGGCGGGGCTGTCACCTTTCGTGGCACCTGAGGCTTCAGCGTGAGAGAGTTTCTCAGCCAGGTCTCTTACTTTGAGAGCCCCTGGGAACCCCAAGATTCCTCAGAGCATCTTTCTCCCATGTGAGAGGCTGCAGCATCCTGGTGCCTTCTCCTAGGGCTCTGAAAAAGGCAAGTCCCCAGATCTGAGATCCCCGGAGACCTACAGCTTCCTGAGGGAGTGAGGGAGAGTGGCTTGGCCTTTCCTGGGGACAGCACCAGGGTTTGCCTTTGACTCAGAAACGCTCACTGCCTCCCACCCCTTCTGGAATCTATCAGACTGGGGGAGCTGAACAAATTGGATCAATGCCTAGCTCAGTCTCTCTCTCCCTCTGTCTTTTTTTTTTATTTTTTAAACCTGACTAGCATATTCCCTGCATGAGCTGACTGTCACGTGTTGGGCAGATTCTCTCCATTTCATAACCTACTGCTCTTGTCTTTCAGAATAAAAGACTGACTCAGGCAGCCCAAGCTTCCACAAACTACTTAGGAATGAAAGTGACCCCTAAAACCAGAGAGTTTCAAAGACATTATTCCCTGGGGGAAGAGGCACTAGCCAGGGAATCAAAAGACCTGAGATGTAATCTTGGCTCTGTTGCTAACAAGCAGTGCGACCTTGGGTAGGTCAAACAGTTTCTATGGTTTCAGTTCTGTAAATTGGCAGACGGGTGGCTGCAGTGGATTGGAGGTTCTCTGCCTTCAGCATGCGTTAGAATCACTTGGTGGGGGAAGCTCATTAAAACAGATTGATGGATCCTAACCTTGAGTTTCTGATGCAATAAAATTTGCATATCCAGTAAATTTCCAGGGTCTGCTGCTGCTCCTGGCACTCCACTTTGAGAACCACTGCATCAGATCATCTCTAAATCCTTGCAACTCAATATGTTATCTATCCCCAGAGCAGCAACATATGGGAGCTTGTTAGAAAGATTAAATCCTAGGGCCCACCCAGTCCTACTGAATTTGAATCTGCAGAAAAACAAGATTCCCAGGTGATTCTTTGGCACATTAAAATTTGAGAAGCATGGCTCTAAATTCATTTTATGATTTTGTAGAAATGATAAATATTCTCTTTTTCTCTTTCCAACATA